AATGACCAAGAAAAACAGACAAGGACAAGGAAGCAGGTAGGGAGTGTATGGGGTTTGTCAGTAAGCAAGACACTTAGATTTCACTCTTAAATATAAAGTGAAGCCTCTAGAAGGTTTTCAGTGTAAGATGATGGAATCTGATATGAAATTTAAGAGATCGTTGTGATACAAAGCATTAAATAAATACTCATGAGTCCATAAGTAAATAAATGATTGAATAAATAAATGGCATGGCTTCGACTCACCTCTGTGACTATCCCCTGTATCCATTAGGATTAGATTCAGTTAAAAAAAAGGGGGGGTGGGGAGAAGAAATCAGAGAGAAACAGTGGCTTATACAAGAGAATGTCAGATCAGATTTCTCTCATGTTCAAGATGACTAAAGTAGGTTGTGTTGAAAGGCCTAAAATTCCATGTGCTGCTTTGCTATCTTTGAATCTCAGAGGACCCCAGAGCCCTAACCATGAGTTTCCCTACTTTTGTCAGATATCACCAACCCCCCACTCAGTGGGAAAGTCTCCCCACCTGGCTAGTTTCTCTGTTAGCCAGACCAGCTGCACCCCATCTGGTCTTCAATCTAATAGGCTTCACCTCTCTGCCAGCTGAAGAAATTATTCAAACAAACCAATCACATCCTCCCCTGGAAACCAGAGGTCACCTCACCCTTTTGTTACTACAAAGCTTGACTCTCACAGTCCCTGCTCCCTGATTCTCCTCCTAAGTGCACCACCCCGATGTGGCTTTGTGTGGTGTATAGTATCCTCCTCTTCTGAGCTGTGAGCATATGTGACTAATAAACTGATGTCACTCTCATCTATTCAGTGTTAGGTGTCATGTGTTTGGCCATCTGGTACTATTTAAAGTGTGTGATCCCTCCTTTACCAATGGAGTAAATCGGTGGTGATCAAAACACTGGTCAGTCCTCAGATGGCACAGCCTTCCATAGTATAAGAGCCCCAGGTTGCTTCTATCCTGTTGCTCCACCATTCAAGGCCCTTATTCCCAAGTTGATGTCATGGCCCAATATGGCTGATGGAGCTGATGGAGTTCCAGCCATCGCTGCTACATTCTACCAGTAGGAAGGATAAAGGCACCCACTTTTCCTCAAAGTTGTACATACCACTTCTGCTTACACAGTCATATTGCTGCATGTAGCTGCAAGGGAAGCTGGGAAATGTAGTTCTTTATCCCAGGCAGCCTATGCCCATCTAAATATCAGTGATTTTATGGATTGGGTCCAGATCCTGGAGGGTTTATCAGTTGGATGAAAGCTGATTAGAGTTGAGCCTTAGCCTGTGTCTTGAGGTTGGATGTCATCAGAGGATAAGGAGGGGAGGGCCCAAGGTTGTCATTAACTGGTACTGAATTAAGATGACTCCTTTTTTTTTTTCCTGATTGGAAGACTGACTACATTTCCCATCAGTCTCATGTTCCCTCACACCCCACCACAACCAAAATGAGACCAGATTGCTGCACTAACTAACCATAATGTTACTGCAACTTCCCCTTGTCCCCCTGACTCTACAGTCCTCTGTACTCTGAGATCAGAGCCTCAGGAGAACTGAGAAGCATGAACACCCACTCCCCATGCAAACCTTCCCACACGTACAGACACAATTCTGCATGGATTCCATAAAGGTGTACTAAATGCTGATTGTGCCAGGATCAACATTGCCAAAGCTAAGACCACATTTTATCGCTGTCACTACAGAACACCCTGTTGAGCTTGGCAGAGCAGGACTGGGCAGGGCAAGACTGGGCTGGCTGGACTGAGCTGAGCGGAGGGAGGGGAGTTTGTTGAAGGGAAATAAGGCCAGTGGGTCATTTACAAGAGTAATGGTTAGATTCCTAGCCAATCAGCACATTCCATCCCTCTGGACACAGGGACTGGGTCCAGATGGACATGACCAAAACTAGGCCAATGAGATTCAAGCTTGGGACTTTCAGCTGGAGATAGTGTGGCACTACACAGAGAAGCCTGCTGGTAGAGAAGAGGTGAGAGAGAATCCTTCTTAGGATGTCATTTGAGGCCTTGGATCCAGCTATGCCTGAAAGACACCCTCCAATATTTCATTCATGAGTCAATAAAGCCCTTGTTTGCATTAGTTAGTTTGGTTTGGTTTCTCCATCCTTGGCAACTGAAGGAGGACTGCCAAAAATTCAAACAGCTTGGTTCTCATTGTTGCTTCCCTGGGGCTAGGATTTGTGCAGTAGTTCAGTAGCTCCCTGGGGTTGGCCCCATTACTCTGCTACGCAGTGGTCAAACTAGTAGTCGTTAGTTCCACATGGAGAACTTGAGGTGGGGCCTGTCATTCTCTCCTGGCCAAAGCTAAGACCTGCCTCCTATCCCATCTCTGAGAGGCCCTGAGGGGCCCCCTCACAAGGCCACACAGTCTTGGGAAACATGGGCAAATGACCATCTCTTTGGGTCCAAATTTCCTCCTCTGTGGAAAGGAGATTAATAATACAAACACTCTCTCTCTCCATCATTCCCCCATATCCTGCTCCCTTCTTACTGCCCATCTGATGTATTTCGCTGCCATCTTCCCATGGCTGGACCCCATAGCCTCTTGTAGCAAGAATTGTCTGGGGCCTGCCATGCCCCCTCAGGCCTTGCTATCAGACACCTATATCTCTTTAGAGCTGGAGCCTACTCTACCCAAAGTGCCAGGGAATTCAGGCCCCTTGGGGGGCAGCCCTCAACAAGGGACAAATGGTGGGAAGTGCAAGATCAATACCCCAGCTCCCTTGCCCTTCAGGGGGTGACTCTGAGGCATGTGTCCTACATAATCCCCAGGTGTTCCCCAGCGGGACTGAGCCTTAGTTGCCTATGACAAGAACTTGCTTGATAATGACAGTGACCAGACACTCCAATTTGCCCAAGATGAAGGGTTTTCTAAGACACAGGATTTTGAGAGCTAACACTGGCAAGTTCCAAGCAAGTTGATAACCCCAGTGATCACTCATCAATTATTGACCACTCCTTCCCTTCCTTCTGTCACCTCCCTGCTCCCTCACAGCTGCTTTCTCTGAGACGAAAGCACACAATCCTTATCTCAAGGTCTGGTTCTGGGAGATCCCCAGCTCCTTCACACCCTTCGAGCAGCCCACTGCCTCGCCGCTGAGTGCTTGTGAGCAGAGGACGCCTTGTATCCGCTCTCTGAGGAAAAGGCTTCTGTCATCTCCATTCCATGTGTGAGAAAGCTCAAGTTCAGACTGGAAAAGAACTTGTCTGAAGTCACCTCGCCAGTAAATGGCATGTCTTAGGGATCAGACTCGGGACAAAGACTGGTTTCCTTGCCCAGTGGCACACACCACTGCTCTGGCATTGAGGGCTGGGATGTGCCAGATGCTGTCTCCCCACTTCACAGGCATTTTATTTAATCCTCATATCCCTCCCAGGGGGTGAAATGACATTTCCCCCACTTTGCAGAGTGGGAACCTGAGGCCCAGAGAGGTGGCTGAGCTCAGGTTCAAGCCCAGGCAGGCTGGCGCTGAGCACACATCCTTAACCAGCAGGCTGGTGCCACTATACATGTAATTTCCTTTCGGGCGGTTGCTGTGGCCATCTGGGGTCGGGGGAGTCTGGCTGCCAGTGAGGCCAGACGGTGGGGGAGCGGAGGGGCACAGATAGCAGACCTGGCTGGGAGTCCCCAGATTGGTGTCTGGGCTGGCAGGCTGAGCCTGGGCCTGCCCTGACCCCTCTCTGCCAGCCCTATTTCCTTGGGGACCTTCCTGTGCCCCGAAGTGTCCCCCACTCCTCTGCCCCCACCACTCCTCCTGTGGTCGGCCTAAATACCAGACAGGGCGAATCTCAGCTTTCCCCCAAACATTCCTTGCTCCCGTGGCCCGGCCCAGGCTGACAGAGGTTACGCAAGCAGAGCTAGGGGGGTTGGGGGTGGGGGACTGAGGGGATAAGCTGGGCTGGCCTGTCCTCACCACCCCATTGGCAGCCCACCCACCCTCCCCAAGGCGGGGAAGAGGGTGGGCCAGCTCTCTTGTGATCCTAAGGGAATAGGCTGCAGGGAGGGTGGCCTGTGCTGAGAGATGGGGGGTGGTGGCGGCCGCAGCAGAAGCTCCAAGAGGTGACTGCCTGGTTTCCATTAGGGAGCCCTGGTCGGCAGTTCCAGTTCGGGCGAGACAGCAGGACTGGGGCTGGCTATGGTGAGGTGGGCGGGGGAGGGTCTGAGGGTGGGGCCTGCCTGCCCCCACAGCCCATTCTGGGATGCTCCTGTCACTATGGCGACCCTGTGTCCAACCTGGCGACACCCCGACCAGTCCCTCCACTCACAGCGGCTGAGCCTGCTGCTGCTGCTCCTACTGCTGCCCGGCCCCCCAACCGCCCCCGGCATGGAGGATGCTGCCTTCCCCCACCTGGGAGAGAGCTCACAGCCCCCGCCCCGGGCCTGCCCCCCGCGCTGCTCCTGTCCCCGAGCTGACACCGTGGACTGCGATGGCCTGGACCTGCGGGTGTTCCCTGACAACATCACCAGGGCTGCTCAGCACCTCTCCCTGCAGGTGGTGTGGGGGAAGGGCGTGCCGGGCGGGGGGTTGAGCATGGGAAGTATGAGGGTGATGGGGTGAGGGATCCACATGCAGGGGTGAGGTGTTGGGTGTGTGGGTCTTGGCACTGATGGAAGTTGGCCTTGTTGAGTGTTGGGTTCTGTGTGTCAGAGAGGAGGTTGGGGTACAGATATTGGATGTGGGAAGGGCTAAGAGATTGGGGGTATCAAGAGTCAATGTCTTGACAATTATGGAGTTGTTTGGGGTCAGAGGAATGGTACACTTGGAGTCAATTGTGAGAATAATGGGTTGCTGTGTGTCAAGATCTTGGCTGTTATGAGGTGGTTTGGGGTGAAGGTGATGGGTGTCAGGAGTCAACTGTAGGGGCAGACGGGGTGTTGGGAAACAATGTCTTTTTGGTTACAGGGTGATAGGGGTATTGAAGCTCTCTTGCTTAGGGTGATAGGAAGCTGAGAATAGGGCTGGGAGGACTCAGGTCATTGGGGTCGGGGTGTGAATGCCCTCCCTGCCCCCCAGAACAATCAGCTCCAGGAGCTCCCCTACAACGAGCTGTCACGCCTCAGCAGTCTGCGGACCCTCAACCTGCACAACAATCTCATCTCTTCTGAGGGTGAGGGGGACAGCAGGAGGCGGCCCCTCCCTGGCGTGGTCCCAGCAGCCCTCTCCCTCACCCCCCTCCACTGTGTCTGTGGGCGGCTTTGCGGCAGTTCCCAGAACTGCCCTTTGCTGAGCAGGATGGAAACTCAGGGGATGGGGGTTGGCTGTGGCTTTTGTGGACAGGGAGTGGGGGTGCCTGGAGAAGCCTCTGCCAGTCCCTGGCCAGGATCCCTGGGGCAGCTGGGAGCACAGACACCCCTGCTCACTACCCCACACCAGGCTTGGGGTCCCTCACTGCCCACCCTGCTCCCAGGACTGCCTGACGAAGCCTTCGAGTCCCTCACCCAGCTGCAGCACATCTACGTGGCCCACAATAAGGTGAACCCCCTACTAACCCCTTACTCGGCCCCAGGCCTGGCCCGTCTAGGATCACGCAGCACAGACTGCAGAGGGGACAGCATGGGGCTGGAAGGGGACCACCAGGACCAGTACGCTGTGTTCCCGCAGCTCTCGGTGGCCCCCCAGTTTCTGCCCCGTTCTCTCCGAGTCGCAGATCTGGCTGCCAACCAAGTGACGGAGATCTTCCCACTCACCTTTGGGGAGAAGCCGGCACTCAGGTAGCCCCTGGCCCAGCCCAGAACCCCCAGGCCTCAGGCATGCCTAAGTCATTCCCCACCGTGGGGGTCTGAGGTGGGTCACGAGCCTGCCCTGGGGTCTCTGGGAGACAGGGCCCTGGGTGCTCTGGGGAACTACACAATCACACACGCGCACACACACACACTGAAGGCAGCCCTGAGCTAGGGTGCAGGGTGGGAGTGGGGGGCAGTGGGGAGCTCAGGGGCAGGCTGGTGGCCGGAGCCTGGCTCCCCTTAGGTCCGTGTACCTCCACAACAACCAGCTGAGCAACGCCGGTCTGCCCCCCGATGCCTTCCACGGCTCCGAGGCCGTCACTACCCTCAGCCTCTCCAACAACCAGCTCAGCTACCTGCCGCCCAGCCTGCCACCCTCTCTGGAGCGTCTCCACCTGCAGGTGCCCCTCCTTCACCTCACGACCCCTTGGCCCCACCTCCTCAGAACCCCTTCACCTTTGCCTCCTCAGAATTCCAGCAGCTGGAAATATCTTTCTCTGAGTCTCTTCTACTGGCACAAGTTGGTCATAAGTACTCTCTGAATAGCTTTGCTAAAGCCAGCTCGTCTATCACTCCCTTACTCAAGAACCTTTTGTGGCTCCCAGCTGCCGTCTGCCCAGACCTTCGGTCTCATTCTTTTCTCGCTTCCCAGAACAACCTCATCTCCAAGGTGCCCCGAGGAGCCCTGAGCCGCCAGACTCATCTCCGTGAGCTCTACCTCCAGCACAACCAGCTGACAGACAGTGGCCTTGATGCCACTACCTTCAGGTGGGGCCCGAGATGGTAGGATAGTGTATGAGGATCTTGGCAGTGAGGTCTGAGGGTTCAGAGTCTGAGGCTCTCACCTTCTTTCCCCTCCACCCCTCTCTTATGATTCCTAACCCATGGCCTCATTTGGTGAGTGCCTATTGTGCTCCAGGCTTGGCCGAGCACCAGGCAGCCATCCTCACTCCCAACTACCCTGTGCTTCCATCTTGTCATCCAATGTCACAGCTACCAGATGTAGATCTGGATGCAGAACTCTGTCCTGGTCACCCCCACATCTAACTCTTAGGCCAGAAGCTGTCCTGATCACCCCAAGTTTACCTCCCACACAGATCTCTCAACTCACCACCCAAAAGTTGGAATTTCCAGTTGACATCTCTCAGGACCACCCCTCAGCCCTCCTGTACCCCCAAGATCCTTCTGGTCCCCTATGCTGTGGGCCCAGACCAACACCGGCCCTCTCCCCCACCAGCAAGCTGCACTGCCTCGAGTACCTGGACTTGTCCCACAATCATCTGGCAGCAGTGCCCGCTGGCCTGCCCCACACCCTGGCTGTGCTGCACCTGGGCCGGAACCGCATCCGGCAGGTGGAGGCGGCGCGGCTGCACAGGGCGCAGGGACTGCGCTACCTGCTGCTTCAGCACAACCAGCTGGGGACAGCAGGGCTGCCCACTGGGGCGCTTCGACCTCTGCGGGGCCTGCACACACTGCACATCTACGGCAACAGGCTGGAGCGTGTGCCCCTGGCACTGCCCCGCCGCTTGCGGTCCCTGGTGCTGCCCCACAACCGCGTGGCCATGCTGGGTGCCCGAGACCTGACCTCCACGCCAGGCCTGGCCGAGCTCAACCTGGCCTACAACCGCCTGGTCAGTGCCCGCGTGCACCACCGAGCCTTCCGCCGGCTGCGAGCCCTACGCAGCCTAGACCTGGCTGGCAACCAGCTGACACAGCTGCCCCCAGGCCTGCCCACCAGCCTTCACACCCTGCGGCTACAGCGCAACCAGTTGCGGGCTCTTGAGCCTGAGCCACTGGCTGGCCTGGACCAGCTACAGGAACTCAGCCTGGCACACAACCGGCTCCGGGTGGGCGACATCGGGCCTGGCACCTGGCATGAGCTACAGGCCCTCCAGGTCAGGGGTGGGCTGGTTAGCCACACTGACTATCCCCAGGCTGCCCCCATGGCCCTTCCATCCCACTGCCTACCCAGCTCCTCCTCCAGAAGGCCCTTAGGTAATACTACAAAGAGCACCCGCCACAGGGACCAGCTCTGGGGTGGATAAGATAGATCCTGCCTCCAGGCCTTTGGCTATGCTCTGCCGCCTGGTCCCCACTCCACCTCCCCAGTGAACACCGTGACCTCTAGCTCCTTCTGACCACTGTTGATTCAAGTTTAGAGCATCTGTGGGTGCCAGGCATCGCTCTAGGCATTGGAGATGCTGCTGGGCACAGTGACGCAGCTCCTGGTCTCAGGCACAGACACCCTGGTTAGGGAGAATGCGATCGATAACAATCATAGTTAATAATAGAAGAGCATGAGGATGCAGAAGAAGTGCCATCTTCATGACTAGCTGCATTAACACCTCCCACAGCAGGCAGGAACCTGTTTTTGCCCCCAGCACCCACAGCAGGG